GGGTTTGAACCGCCAGCCTTCTGGTTAGCCGTCAAGTGCCTTAGGCACTATGCTACCAGGGGAGGAGTTCATGTCTGAAATGATGGAGTGGCATGGTAGTTTGGACATTTGGGATATCTTTAACCCCCGCCTCATGGGGACCTGCCTTGTGCTGATCTTTCTGAGAGAGATTGTTAAAGTAGTAGTAGTATTTGAGTTTTTCAGATGAAGAAACAGGCTGAGAGAGGTTAAATAACTCATTCAGTCTTGAAAGTAGCAGCCAGTGTGTCTGGAACCTGTGTCTCAGTGATTCGAAGGCCTGCCCCCATCACCTGTCTTTTGGGTTGCCTTATGATTTTGAAACTAATTTTATTTTATTGAGCATGAGTATAAGGAAATTCCCTTTAGAGTATATGTAATGTTCACATCGGATGGTTGGAAGTACTTTTCAAACCATATTTAAAGTCTGAGGTTTGTCATAGTAGAAGTTTCTATGAAGTGGAATTTTCTATTGTTACAGTGGAAAGAATTACTGGGTGGGGGAGCAGATTGAGACATCACCTAGAAACCTCACAGGTGTCCTGATGGGAGGGCCCCTGTTTGGGTGACCCTGAGCCCTTCTCATTTTAATAACCTGAGTAATTGCCTTTGATAGGCATGCTTTTTTTTGAGCTCATTAATGACACTCCAGCGTGGATTTTATTCCTCTTAGCCCTGTTTCACCTGCAGAAATACATCCCTTGGATGCTACCCACTGATTGCCACCTCACTGTCTGTGTATCAGTGCTGTCCTGCCGGCATGGGGAGGGGGAAAGGAGAAGAGAAGGGAAAGGGTTTAGCAAGAAACCGAACCCCTCCAAGCTGAGCCTGTATGCCTGCTTAATCTGCTTAAAGGCTAAGTCCGGATCCAGACACCAGAACCTTGACACATTCAAATTTGATGTTTTTTTGTGGTTAGGGTTTTTATGATTGCCTTACTAAGCATGTTCACGTCCTTTTTCTCTCCCCTCTTGTGATACACAGCCTACCTTGGGTGCACACACAGGTAAGTATTTACTACGCTTAGTTCATTTTGCTCCTGTGTCTTGTTTTTGGTCCTCAGGGTGTTCATTTTTGCAGCCTGTGAAGTATTTCGAGCGTTGGAACAATATCATACCCCTAAATGAAATTTGGATTATTTACTTTCAGATGTGTCTCCTAACAATGTAATGACTGTGGAAAGGCACATGGCCTGATTTGAATGGAAATTTATGTGGGGATGATTTTAGAGCTTTCTGTTTATTGAAAAAAGCAATTTCCTTTCCTTATCCTCAGGGCTACTTTTCCCACTCTGCTGCCATGATAATCACAAGAAACACCAAAGAAGTTGAAATAATTGAAAACGACCCACATCCAACCCAACTTAATTTATTTCACTTGTGTCTATCTAGTTATATGGACTTGCGATACATACAGGTGTTTATGGAACAATGGACAGGAGCTCGGGGTTGCAGTTTCAGAAAACATCGACCTTCTAGTTTAGAAGTAAATTCCTCTTCAGGGAGTATGATCATTCATTAATTTGATCAGCGCTGTATTTTGTGTCTTGTAGATACAGGATACTGTAGGAACATCTGTTGTACCATAATTTGGAGAGGCTGCTAGGCTGTTTCAAAAATAAACCCCAAATGCCTTGACAACAGCAGTTTGACATAGATGCTGGTAGTGCCAGGTCACCAGAAGTTTTAGTCCTTTTGGCTTCAGCTTGGGTTAAGTGATAACTCTAAAATGCTTTCAGATGTTCTCTATTGGAAGGGGCTGTCTTCATTGACTGGTGGCTTATTTAGTGAAATAGTGTCCAACAATCATTTTCCACCTTCAAGCCATAGCATTCATAATTTTGTAAATCGAAATTCATTTGCAAAATGGGCCTCTGCCCATCTCAGCAAGCGTTATGCACACATAGCCTCATTTAAACAACTGGGACTTCTCAAGTGTTCAGGCAATTTGGGTAGGCTTCCCAATCTTGCCTCTCCATCTCCTGTCTGAACAACTTCTTCCATGCCACAGTATGTTTATGCAACACTGGATAAGACTTTTAAGGGAAATTTCTTCCAGGTGACCTCCTTGTGTGAGGCTGGGCTGTGAAGAATTCTTAAGAAACCCAACCCTCATGAGATTGGCTTGGTTGAGAACATTGCTCAGTGCAGAAACAAGGGGTAGAATTCGGTTATTTTTGGCTCTCGAATAAATGAATTCTGTTTCCTTTTGTGTAGGTGGCAGAAGAAATTAACCCCCCCAGAGAAGGTCTTGTCTCCGTTGGAAATTGAACTTTTGATTTCTTTTCAATTAAGAGAGCCCTGGATAAGAAAATGTGAAATTGTTTTTATTTGAACTCCAAGCAACTTGGAATAGGTTCAGCTGTGTGCATGTCTTTTATAGATCTGTCTTTGTCATTGTTGTCTGTCTTTACATTGCATTTTCTGGAGGCCTGCACGGGGATTGTCAGATGCCCTCCAATTCAGCATCACATGTGGGTAGATTCTAATGAGTCCTCTTTTAATCTTCACAGCACTTTTGGAGAAATCAGTCAGGCGAAGGCGGGACACTGAAGCTGTACAGAAAGCCAAAATGCTTTATTCATCCTGCATGAATGAGAGTGAGTAATAAAATAAAGTATTTACCTCGCTTATTCTTCAGAGTCATATTAATGTTGAAAGATACTATTTAAGGAAAAAGAAAACTACTAAGAATTCTGTTCCTGTTGAAAGGTGTTTAAGGAAAGAAGTGATTCTCAAAGAGTGGATTTGGACGAGCTCTGTCTTAGTTAATGTTCCGTGGCTAACTTGATGGAGAAAATACTTTTATTTCTGTAGTTTGGATTCTTTGCAGAGCAGTTACTCTGTGAGAAACTTGGGTAGTCAGAGGGGAAACTCCATCGTACGTGGTACAGAAACCAGAATGCAGAGGCTAGGTTTGATGTGAGAAGGTGCTGGGGTAGAGGACACTAGGGAATGCTGATCTCTTCCATAGGACCCACTAGGGCATTGGGACATGCCGATTCCCAGGCAGGTCAGCCTAACGGACATCACTGGAGGGTGCCTTGGGCCTATCTCTACATATCTTGGGTCTAATGGGAGTTAGAAGAGACACTGCCCTTAGAATAGCTATTCTGTCTGGTCTGCTTTCTGAAGGCCATGCAGGGAAAAGCCAGTGTCTCTGGTTTAGGATTTGGGGTATCACTTGGTGAGCTCGAGAAGGGCAGTGGAGGATAAAAGAGCCCGAAGCATTAATTCACATACACTGGGGAATGATTGGCTTTGTTGAGCCATTTCCTTCAGTTAGGGCTGTTTTTACTCCTGCAGAGAGTATTATCAGCCTAATATCATTCATTGCCTTTAGTGAGCCCATGGTTCATTTGCGGGGACTGTCCATCAGGTTCCCTAGGCTGCTGGCTTGGTAAGAACATGAGTTTTAGACAGTCACGTTGAATTGTGAGTTGTAGGGTGTTCTGTCTCTATGGTCATGCTCATTCCACTTCACTTCTCCCACCCTCTTCCTACCTAACGGCTATTCCAAGACCCAGGACTGAAAATTTCAGTTGGGGCCTTCTGGGAATTTCCTCTCGAGAAGATGCACTTGCAGTTCTGGTTTGGTAATCCAGTTTTCAATTCTAATTCCTCCCTCACGTCTGCTCCCTTTCAGAAGCAATTGAAAAAGCAGATGCCAAGCCGTTGCTGCATATCCTGCGGCACTCGCCTTTCCGCTGGCCTGTGCTGGAATCGAATATCGGTCCTGAAGGGGTTTGGTCAGAGAGGAAGTTCAGCCTTTTGCAGACACTTGCAACTTTTCGTGGTCAATACAGCAATTCTGTGTTCATACGTTTGTATGTGTCCCCTGATGACAAGGCGTCCAATGAACACATCTTGAAGGTAGAGTGGAGACTTTGTTCATCCTGTTAATTCAGTCCAAGGTTCGTCTCTTTTGGGTGCTTTCCTATGGACAGAGATTTCATTAGTGAGATGTGGTAAAAATTCTGTGAAATAGTAAGATCTAGAATTATTTTTTCCTTGCCCCTCAGAATGTAAATCAACAGAAAAATTTTGTCAGCCTTCCAGGAAGTGGGTAAGTGAGTTTCAACTGATCTGTACTCTCACACTCAAACATCTACTCTAAGCACGTGGAGGGTCCCTCAAATCCAGTAGGAAGATGGCCATGGTTTCCTTTGGTTATCAAAGACTTTCTGAACTCTGCTGTTCCCCTTGCCTCCTCATTCTTCTGAGAAAATAAACATACCCTGATTCCTTGTTCCCCTTTCCCTGACATCTTTAATATGCTCCTAAATTTTTATTGGCAAGTTCAGTCTGAGTCTCTCTTCTATTTACCTTCAAAAGGTACAGCAAACTGACTTTAACAGTAACTTGTCCTGTTGTAAGTGCTTCCTTGCCCTTTCAATTGGGAGGAACTCAACTATCTCTTCCATAAGGGAGTGAGCCATGTGGATGGACCCTGAGGTAGGTTATGTTGTTACAGTTAGGAGACTGAGAAAACTCTCACCAATGAAAGATTCATTGAGGAAGGAGCTTTGCAAGAAGTCAAATAACATTTCTCAAATGATTTCATATTTTGATCCTGCTGTTTTTCTTCTTCCACAGTTACTTGACTAATGAAATTTTTATTGTACCACTGATTTTTCTGTCCTCTGTCAAACTAGAAAGTATTAATGATATATTGATATTCAAATCATGAAAGTATGAGACCTTTGGAACATATTACCCTAACCCAATATAAGTCAGTCTCCAAATTCTAAACCCTGAAGTTTATCTTCTGATTTAGACTAGAGGTCAGCAAACATTTTCAATACAGGATTAGCTCTTTTAGGTTTGCAGGTCATAATGTCTCTGTGGCAACTTTTCAACTCTGCCTGTAGACAATACGTACATAAATGAGGGTGGCTGTAGTCAGTTGGCCTGTGGGATGTTATTTGCTGACCCTTGGTTTAGATTGTGGATATCTCAATAAAGATGTTCAGTCATTGAGAGAATTCCTGTGTACTCAAGGAGGAAATTCTCAGTTCCAGAAACAGTTTCCATGTTGGAGGATGAAACAGTAATATGATAGTGAGATATTCTGATGCCAGCAGGATAAGACCTGCTATGTAAAGAAACAATGATGGTGATGATCCCATTGACCTTTGTTTCACATGGATAGATTCTTCTTCTTCTTTTCTTTTTTAACTAAGCTATTAGACTCTCTCATTCTCAATTATAGAAATGTTATGATACCCTTAAGTGGTGTTTTGAAGTAAGCTGGAGACTATCTTTTGAACTTAAGTTTATACACTCTATTGAGTGATAGCAGGTCTTGATTCACATGCAAAGAAGTCATTGAAAATGGTAGCCATTTCATTTTTCACCAATTTCTGTACCTAGTCTGAGAATTGAATTTATTTCGTAAAGAATTTATTAATGGAAAATAGTAACACAAAAGTCAAAAAATAGTAAGTACAAATAAACTCGTATGTACCCATCAACCCAGCTGCAACAACCATCAACTTTCTGCTGTTCTTGTTTCATCCGACCCCCTCCTTTGTTGAGGGGTGGAGCCAGAGCATTTTAAAAAGCAAATCTGTTGCACTGGTAAATACTTCAGTATTTATCACGACCAAAAAAAGTAACTCCAATTCCACAACGTCTAATACCCAGTTAGTTTGAAATTTTCTCTATTTGTCTTAAACATGTCCTTATGGTATTAAAATAGTTGCTGTTTGATTCAGGCTCCAAAGAAGAATCACATGTTGCATTTGGTTGATATGTCTCAGTCTATTTTAATCTCTAACAGTTTGCTATCTTCTTTTTTTTACAAAACCACATTTATATGTTGAAGAAACTAGATTATTTTTCCTATAGATTTTCCCACATGCTGAACTTGACTGATTTCACGTTAACCTAAGAGCTGATGAGGGAAAGTCCCTCTTTATAGGCCAATTGTAGCTATGAAATGCAGGAGAAATGATGGAATTGTAAAATTAACATATTTCAATCCCTATTAGAATAGACAGACTAGCAACTATCAACAATAGCTGCTAAACCCATTACATGAGTGGTTGATGGGGAAGTTCATGATAGAGACATCTGGCTGACATTATCTGAACCCAACTTTCAGTGGTAGCATTGTGAAAAGTAGGACAACCAGATAGTGTGTGCCTCCTGATACCAGGTGGTAGAAACTCTATGCCATCACCAGTGAGGTACTCTTGCCAGAAAACCCAAAGCAAAACACTTGAACGTAAGTAAGCCTCGAGTTTTAATATTAGTTTACAGAAAACATGGGGAATAAGAGGAGCAGGGCAACCAATTTTCAATGGCTTGCCTTGCAAACTTAATATAGTATTCAATTAAACAGATCCTAGAAAAACTAATCAATAGTAGGATACTTTTCAGATGTAAGGAGCAACAAGCAACGCAGTGCACTGCCGTTGAGTTGGATCCAACTCATAGCGACCCCTCTTTGGGTTTCTGAGGCAGTATCATTCCAGAAGTAGATTGCCCAACCTTCCTTCCGGGGAGTGGCTGCTGGGTTTGAACCACCAAACTTCTGGTTACCAGTCAAATGACTTAGGCACTATGCCACCAGAGCTCCCGATGCAAGGAGACACTCATGCTATTATTATTGCTCTTCTTTGTCAACATGGCATCTTGTTCCCAACCCATATGCTTGAGCATTGCTTGGCATTTGAGCACAGTATCCGTTTCCTTTTGTTATGTCCCTGTTTGTACCATCTTCCATGAGTGAATATCCACACACCCAAATTAACTGCCTTCCCCCAAACAAGATAGAAGCAGGGTTGTCCTAATCGTGACACATTTACAAGTTCAAGCATGTACCTAGATTTAGTAGCGGAATCTTATTCTGAGATCAGCATAAAAGTTGATGAACCTGGCAACAAATGTTAGTAGATTGGTGATTGTTAATGCTGGGAATTTGTGTGTTGTATTAGTTTAAAAATGGTTAAAAATACTTTCTGGTGGTGGAGTCTGGAGATGATGTGCAGAAATAGCACCTTGAGAGAGGAAGGAACAGAAGGAAGAGCCTTGGACCTCAGGGGGCTGAAGGAAAGAATGTGTTTGGTATCTACCACATTTTTTGCATCCTTCAGTGACACTTCTGCATGTCACTCATCTCTCTGGCAAGGAACTCATGTGTGCCATGGGACTCGTAGGATGAAGGTACAAGTTGACTAAGATGAATCCTCACCATGTACTGCCATGTTGTTTATGGCCGATGACCAGTATGTGGCCCCCAATGTGCAAGGAGCTTGGCATCACTGCCCTACACATCAAACTGCATACCACAGGAGGATATTGGACCTAGAATCCTGAGCCTGGGACCCATTCTGCCCTCAGAGCCCTTGAGCATTTAGCAATCATCATGCAGATTGAGGATGTCACCCCCATCCCCTCTGAAAGCCCCTACAGGAAGAGGGGGTCACCTGGTCACTATCTGTGAATAGGACTCCTCAGTTTACTGTTTTCTATCAACAAATTGCCTTCATGTATACTTTTTTTTTTTTAATTGTGATTTCGATGAAAATCTACAGAGCAAATTCACTTTCCATAAAGCAGTTCACACACACATTGTCTCATGACAGTGACTGCAGTTTACCAGAATGCAGTAGCTCCCTTCCCACCTCCTCCCGACAGTTACATCTTCCTTTTGTCCATCCCTTCATGCACTCCTGCCCCCTGAGCTGTCTCCCGGTGCATAAACAGCCCTTCTTTCTCCCATGATTGTTCTCTCCAAGGAATGTATTTACCTCAGGTACATGTTCAAGTCATATGCCTGTCTTTTGTTTGTCTGGAAGCCACAGGTGTGGGCTGAATTCTAGACCTGAAGGGCAGCTAGGGACCATAGTCTCAGTGGTTCCACCAGGTTCTATCAGACAAGTCATGTACATTTTTTAAAAGATAAAAATATGAAAACAAAATCTAAATAGAATGTTTGGAGCTCCTGGAGCATGTTTGGAGATTGTGTGGACCATAGTTTGAGAAGAACTGCTGTAGTGGAAAGAATTGGTTTTGGTGTTAAAGAAATTGAGGTTCACGGTTTTGCTTTGTGATTTCCTTGCCAAAGATCTGTCTTAGTTCTCTAGTGCTGCTGTAACAGAAATACCACAAGTGGATGGCTTTAAGAAACAGAATTTTGTTCTCTTACAGTTTAGGAGGCTGGAAGTCTGAGTTCACAGTGTCAGCCCTAGGGGAAGCCTTTCTCTCTCTGTGTGTCTTGGTCCTGGGAGGATCCTGGTGCAGGGACCCTGGGTCCAAAGGATGCACTCCGCTCCTGGCTCCTCTTTCTTGGTGGTAGTAGGTACCACTTCTCTGCTCCCTTCTCTCACCTTTTATGTCTTGTAAGGTAAAAGGTGTTACAGGCCACACCCCAGGGAAGGTCCCCTTACATCAGATCAGCACTTAAGGTTGTTGCAACCCACCCTTAATCTTAATCCCTTTACACCTGTTTGGTTTATCCCATCAGATCACAACATAGGGTATCATTACATATCTGCCACATTCCATCATTCCACAATTTCTGAACCACTGAGAATCATGGGCCAGCCATGTTGACACAGCTTTTGTGGGGACACAATTCAAATCATGACATTGTCTTTGTGTAAATTGCCTCACTTCTCTAAGTCTTGGTTTCTCCATTCTCCAGACTCTACCACCAGAAAGTATTTTTAACCATTTTTAAAGTAATACATGACACACAAATTCCCAACATTAACACTCACCAATCTACTAACTTTTGTTGCCAGATTCATCAACTTTTATGCCGATTGAGAATAAGATTATGCTACTAAATTTAGGTACATGCTTGAACTTGTAAATGTGTCACCAAGACAAATTTGTGTAAAGACACATTGTGTCAAGAAGGG